TGATTTCAATCATGAGATAAAGATTGTGTAAACTAAAGCAACCCTTATCATTAAATCAGTTCAGGTTCTAACAGTTATCAGATCAAACTTATAACAAGAAAAATTGCCAGATATTCGGCGAATGGGTTTTAAGAATAAACAGACATGATTTTGGCTTCATTAATGCCTTTACGTCCCCAGTGGAACATAGGGAGTCTACAAGCTAGAGGCTTGAAGTTTCGGTAGCAGTGGTGTTTATGTTTACGGGATGAGGATGCTAGCCTCATGCTCAATATTCCCTCTTCGCCAGTCTTATTACTGGCTTATCGAGGATAAAGGAGGGCGTCGGTGGCCGGGGATCGAACCCCGGATCAAATGTGTGGCGACTATTCTACCGCTATGCCACCGACGCTTTATATGCGTCCAAAATTGAAACATCTCAGCTGGCGTATCAAGATATTCAACTACTCTGTTTGACTGCAGCTTCTTAAATTATCACAAGTATTAAGGGACATTTTGAACAGTGGTTTAGTACTAGTAACTGACAGTCATGTTGACTATGTTTTTCTACATTAAAACGTATTACCCTGTGTAATTCATTATATTTATTATGTTATCTATAAACAGTTAGTTACCTGATTATAACTGCAGCAATCGATTCGATGGCCTGGTTTTGCTAGAATACCCCATGTGACAGTACCTACCTGTTTGTCTTAAGCACCTTCATCTAGATTGCGCATTGAAATTGCCAACGAAAACTAGAACATTTATGACAGCTTAGTTTGTTGTAGAAGACCAGATAGTCTTCGAAAGAAGTGATGCTCCGTGTCTTCCGAACTGAGGTGATTAGGTGCATGGGTATATGCTGCAAAGTGATATCGGTATGTGTCAGAATCTTTCATACTTCTCACAGAATAATTAATTGGGATGGGTGACAAGAAACTATCGTGTGGTATTCAGTGGAGCAGTGTGTTCTGTGGCCCGAGACTTGATGCTACTGAATGCTTGATGGTGGCAGCTACTGGCCATCGGAAGGCTGGATGCTGGAAGGTGTGCATAGTGTAGGCTGAGGACTTTGTTCACTTAAGGTGAAGTGTATGTTGACGCTTAATCTGTGTATATGTGTTCTACAAAGATGGAATGCGTGCATAACCAGGATGCTAGAGTTGAGGTTATAGTGATACTTGTTGACCCTAATTGACGTGGTACATGCTACGCCTAAAGCTGTGGTGTGGAGGGCGTTTTCAGCAGATCAAATGGGTGAATGACTGTATATCTGCTCGTGTGGAGCTAGTTATATTGGCCGCACAAAGCGCACGCTTTCCAAACGCATCTCTGAGCATTATCCGGCATGGTTAGCAAAGGGACAATGTAAGACAATTACTAGCTCAATTCTCGAGCATTTGGTGAACTCAGGCCACGTAGCTCCACCAGAATCGTCTTTCAAGATCATCCACAAAGTGAAGCCAAATGGTACAAAGGGCGTCAGGTTTCGGCTTTTGTGTATGGCGGAGGCTCTAGCAATTCATCAATACAACCCTGAACTCTGTATACAGAAAAAGTTTATCCAGTCTCTTATTCTACCTTGGTCTTAACCTCTTCACTAATCGTTCCTTGTAAATAAAATATATTTTAATTTTTTCTTTTCATTCTAATTTCACTTTTAGTTAGCTTTTGCTTTAATAATTAATTCACTATTATCAATCTAATATGCTCCTTTTGTATATTTTCACACTTGTTAAATTGACACTCAAATACCTTTATTCTCACTTAATAGCACTTTTAACCTTATCAAATTTCTATCTTTTTGCCGTTGAGTACCACGTAATTTTCAACTTTTAATTTTCACTTCTAAAGCCACTTCTGAGTAATTATATCAATTATGTCACCCCCTATTACTCAATAATAGACCACTATATATTTTTGTAAGTATAAATACGATTGTACAGCCTCTGAAGATGATTTCGTCGATAAAGAAAATTTTCTTCGCTGAATTTGTCTTTTATTTTCTTCATGACACAATGGGTATTTTCGGTGAGTGTATATTTGTACGTATATATTATTGAAGATCAGGTTCGAATGTTGCATATAGGTGCATCAGTTTAAGTTTACACACTCTGAAATCCCCATTGTGTCATAAAAAGGAAAAGACATCCACAGAAGAGTAACGCTTTTCAGAGATATCATTCTCAAGCTGTACAACTGCAATATATATAGTAAATTATCTTAGAAACAAAAGGAATATTTCCAAAGATATGTCACTAGAATTGTAAAATTTGATAACGAATTACGTAACGTAAAAGGTATTAGTCGGGGAAGAAACTAACATGAAATTAAATAAGTTGAGTGAGGCAATATAACTGACGGCATTGAGTAGAAGTCAGCTAAAATTGAACAACAGTCAAGTTAACAACAGTGGTAGTAAAGGGGAAAATATCAATAGGGTCTTAGGGAAGAAGACAATATAATTAAATAACAAAAAGTAAAAATCACGTATCCAGTGTTAAGACAGATCAGGTCCATTGTAGACTTAATGACTACACAAACTTCTTCTGTATGCAGAGTTCAGGATTTAACATGTGAATTGCCATTGCTTCTGCTGTTTGAACAAGTTTGATTCGTACTCTTTTAGTGAGTTACTTTGTGGGTAAGCTTGGTGTCCAGACTCAATCAGGTGTTCCAGGATAGAGCTGCCTGTGGGTAAGTGTTCGACGACACTTTTGGATAGCAAAAGCTGGTTACTGCAGACCTAGCTATCTCCACACCAGCAGGTTATTTGATAGATGCACACTGATGAAGCCAGCGCTGGTAGCTTATCCTTCATTTTCATGAGAATCATTGGTTTTGTAGAGACAGTTAATCGAAGTTCACCAGCAGAAAAGGTTTTCTTCAATATACGGAGCAGGCGTTTTCTCGGTATTTCTGCCAATGAGTCTCCACTGAATTGTAGATAAAGTCTTTTCTGAGCAGATAGCGTGGGCGGTTTTAGTTAGTTTAGGCATCATGGATTTTGTGATGAAACCTTTTAGGTAGCTATTTTCAAGGAGGATTCTCCTCAGTGTTCAGCTCCTTTTCTATAGTTAAGGGGCTATAAATGTTGCGCATTCTGTCGTTCAATGAACGGATCAGGTTTCGTTTGGTATATAGAGGCACCCAACTATGAGAGTTAGTGAGTTATCCGTTCCATGTCGGCTTTCTATAGATGGATCTTTTTAGTGTTCTATCTTGTTCACGTCTTGCTAGATGAAATTCCAGAAGAGATATTTTTGTGTGTGACTCCTTCTCTAATGTGAACTGGATTGCAGGATGGCAGCTGTCGCAAAATTCCAGGATGTCCTCCAAATTCTCCTCATTATTGGAGATAATGAAAGTATTGTCCACGTATCTCTTGTAAAACCCGGAGCTGTCAGTCATTTTCTCTAGGAATGCGTTGTCTGTTTTTGACATGAAAAAAATGTGTAAGTAACTGGCCAAGTGGTGAACCCATATCTATACCATCTTTTTGTCAATGTATTTCGTTATTAAAAAAGAGTTGAACATTTAGAGTGCATCTTAATAAAAGTTCCTTTAAATAGTCAGTGGGTACACCAACTTTTATCCCCTTTTAATCACTGTTCTCATATGTAGCATATTGTTTCAGTTATTAAGACGTTTGTAAACAGTGATACCACATCTAGTGAGAACATGGTTTGATTAGAAACATTGACGTTTTCAATGGAGTTGACAATGTCGAAGGAGTCTCGGAATGATTGGCAGGAAACTTGCCTTATGATTGGTTCTAGTAGGTCTACTAGCCACTGGGCAGTACGATTATATAAGGTGGATTCGCCATATCGAGAACAGGTTTGCCTTTCTTATACACTTTTGGTAATCCAAAGAGTTGAGGAATATTCGAGCCAGCGAACATTTCAGCGTCAATGAAATATCCAGTCTTTAGTTTTCAGAGGATGTCCGTTAGTTTTTGTTCGGTTTGCTGCGTCGTGTTCTTCTCATTTACCGGTTTTGCGAATTTTGATTCATTGGATAGGATGGTCAGCATTTTACTTATGTAGTCCTCACGATTCGTGATTGCGATTTCTCCACCTTTATCAGGATGATCTATTTGTTGTCGATTAATTCTTTCAGTGCTTTACAATGTCTCTTTGTTATTAATATCAACCTGCTGTTGGGTTTGGTATTTACGAACTCATTGTATATTTCATGTGCCGTTGTAAATAATTCAGTTTTGAGCTAACTTCAGATAATAATAATAATTTGCTTTATTCCAAAACAGTACATGTGATACAGAATGGAATTCTCAGCATTTTTACTACAGTATTGCATCCAGTTAGTACATTATCAATAAATAGAATTCTACATAGATTAAGGAAATCTCAGTTCATTATGACAACAGCATATTGGCATGTCGGTAGCAAAGCCAAAGTTGAAACAGTGTTTGAAGGTGTTAGAAAAGTAGGTGCTATCATATTTACTGGCGTAAGCTGAAGAAAGAAACAAAGCAGCACATAACAGAGAAAAGGAAAGAGGGAGAGAGAGAAAAGGAAAAGAAAGAAAGAAAATGTTGTACCTATAAATGATATGAGTTGGAAAGACGAGGTCCAGTTGTTCTACTGACTATTCAATGAATTATTGGCGTCACGCCTAATGCTTTCTTTATCGCACAGAACACGAGCTAAGTAGGTTATGGTTGAGTTTTTCTAGTCATCAGGATGGATTAGTGCTATAATTGTTTGTTAATTAACAATGTAGCCTAATGAATCATTACACTGGTCTGTAGTCCCTGCTACCCACGCGGGGTTTTATACGCCTACATGCTAAGGGAATAAATAATTCATTAATACAAAAAAAAACTCTGATAGAAACCTAATTGCTAATTGATTAAATCACGTGATTATACAAACCAGTTTATGCAACTTAAAATCACTATCAGTCATTCATAGAATACAAAAAGAGAATCTGTACAACGAGACTACACAAGAAATAAAGAAAGAAAGAAACACGCAAGCAAACAAACAAACAAAATGCCAAGTAGGACAGCTTCGCTAAGTCTACTTCGAAAATGCGAATATGTTGCATCTGGTCAAATTGGCTCATGTCGAAAATCTATGCTTACACGTGAAACACTACAACGGCCTAAACTAGGCGAACCTTTAACACGTGGACGACCTAAACAACCAAAGAATTTTACTTATGGTAAACCAAATAAATATGATCCGAACGGGATTATTGAATGCTTAACTTGGCCAACTGATGAAGAAACTAAAATTAGCATTGATTCTGAATGTTTGCCTAGAGATTTTCATCGAATCAATGTTGAATCAGTAAAAGAAGGCATACATCCAGTGCCTGATTGGCTAAGATTTGCAAACGAGAAAGATTACCGGTTGAATGCTACAAAGCGCGTGTTAGGACGCTTGAAGAAGCCTAAATTTCCGGAAAATATGTGCTTTGGTAAACCGTATCGTCCACCGACACCAATGGCTTGTGTAATGTCGCATGCATATAAAAATCTATGGGATCAGCAAGCTCTGGAGTAAGTTTTTTTAAACTTTTATTACTATTATTGTTTCCTTTAATTCCTACAGGAACATAGGGCTTCAGCCGTGCGTATCCATTGCGTTCGGTTCTCTGCTAGAGTCTTCACCCAGCTCCAAGTCTGCCCACATGCTTTCACATCACCTCCTCCAAGTCACCCTTGCACTGACGACCAACTCACCGCTTCCCTCTCGGGTTCCACTCGAGCAATGGCTTGTCTAGTGATGTCACTTGATGGTTTCTTTGCTCAGAGTATGGCCTGCAATCCATCTCCATTTCTTCCTGCCTATTTGTTTCACAACCAGTTCCTGGTTGGTTCGCTCATTGCTAGAGATCCCTGTTGCTGATCTTCTCTGGCCGGCCATCTGATTTTGAGTATTGAGCGAAGACAACTGTTAATGAAGGTCTGTAGTTTGTTCGAGATGCTCTTTATGACGTGCAGTGCAAGTCTCTGATCCGTATAGTAGCACTGACGTCGCATTGGAGTTGAAAATCCGGATCTTATTTTTGATGCTGAGTGCTGTTGACCTCCACACAGACTTGAGAGTAGTGAAAGCTTGTCTTGCTTTTCCGATTCTTGCTTTGATATCCTCGTCAGTTCTGTCTGCCTGTAGTTGAAACGATGCTTTCCAGGTAGGTAGGTAAAGGAGGTTGTTTCTCCCAGGTTCCTTCCATTTATGCTGATTGTTGTCTGTTGTTGTTGTTGCTGTTGGTGGTGTTGCTCAGGAATCTTCATCACCTCTGTTTTAATTTTTATACTGTAATATAAATGAAATACTTTGCAATTATTATGGACACATATGTCGAATGAAGAGTCTTCCTGAACAAGACTTCATTTTCGGCTTCACTAATTTTTTTTAAAATTTAAATTGATATCCCCTTTGTTTTCCGAGTGGGACACTGGGCTTCAAGCTTTAGTTTGGAAGTTTTAATAGCAGCTGTTATTCCATTATGGGTAAACTTTGTTTTGATAAAGTCTCACAGTGTTTTACAGTAATGTTTACTGATGACGTTTCGAGCGAAATTTATTATGCTCATAATCAGTCAGTTCTTCTATACCGGTCAGAAACATAGCCAGCGTGTCACCAAAAGGATCGCCAGTTACAGACTTTTATCAACAGCTGCTCCCTTCGCTGGCTCCATACTGAATATTAAATGGCCAGCCGGCTGACCGGAAAGAATTAGCGACAAGAAACTCTGGCTGGCTTGGAGCAAACCAACCAAGAGTCGATCGCTCAAAAAATATGTAGGAGAAAGTGGAGATGGATCAGAGACATACTGAGAAGACCATCAAATGATATCGGACGCCCAGCTCTCGAGTGGTAAATGACGAGTTGGGCATAGGTTCGATAGTGACACAGAGGAGATCATGTGAGGAGGAGGTGATAGTTTATGAGCAGTCGTGGGATCAGCTAAGGTAGACACGCTGTTGACGCCCTATTTTCCACTCGCAACCTAAGGGAACAATAATAATAATAGTGTTAATACTATGCTACAAACAATTTCACTAAGCATATTTTAAATGTAATAATCAGCCGCATTCATACACATGACCCTGTAGCTATTATCGTTTCCTTGAATTCCATCTCCCTCGTCGATATTCTCGCATAAACCTGGAGGGAGTTTTAATTATAGATTCATGATAAATCTCTGACAGAAGTAGGAATTAACTTGAAAATACGGTGAATTCTATTCTAGGTCTTGAAATATGCAGTATATTCTTCCTATGGAATGAGACTGTTTCATAAACAAACGAACAGACAAAAAGACGTAAGTGCATTTATGAATTATAACAACCTAAAGTATTTGTGATTATTATTAGTATTATTATTGTTCCCTTGGGTTCCTAGTGGAACATAAGGCTTCAACTGCACGTCTCCACTTGCTTCTGTCTTCTGCTGTACTTTTCACATGCATCCATGTTAGTCCATACTGTTTCAACTCCTCTTCACACGATCTCCTCCATGTCACTCCTCCTTAGACGTCCCACTCGCCGCTTCCCTTTCGGGTTCCACTCGAGTGATGGCCTGACACGCGATATCACCCAACGGCCTCCTCAGCGAGTGTCCAATCCGTTTCCACTTTCTCCTGCATATTTGTTGGGCGATTGGTTCTTGTTTTGTATGTTCCCATAGTTTCTTGTTGGTTCTTGTTCTTTCCGGTCATCTGATCTTCAGTATAGAGCGAAGACAGTTGTTGTTGATAAAGGTCTGCAACAAGCTGTTGGAAATATTCTTTGTGACACACTGGCCAAGTTTCTGATCTGTACAGAAGAACTGACTGACTGACTTGACGTTTGTATTGAAAATCCGAATTTTGTTGTTGATGCTGAGTGACACATATTTCATATATTTAAAAACTAATTTTGGTATACTTTTCTCGAAAAAAAAACCAAAATGTTAACGGAACCGTACACTAAAAAGACATTGGTGTAAGCTATTACAATCCACCAGTACAGACATAATATCGACAATAAAGCAGATATATTAATACGAAGAAGGGAATGAGAAAAAGAAACAGGTTACAACTACACAACTAAAGAGAGTTAATGACTACAAGATTCGACTGACAACTAGAGGTATTATGTCATGCATGTCGTTAGTCATTTAGTGAATAAAAATCCAGTGAGATATTCTAGAAGTATGCTTACCCATTAGCTTCTTTATGTAGCTTGAATTATGATATATTTTGAAGTATGATACATGTCATGTAACTGTGATGGCGGGGGTGGGGGAGTGGTGACCTTGTTTTGTAGGGGTTTGATTTGTTTCAAGTTAGGTCACCGACTGATATCAGTTAGAGAAACATTGAAAACCATCAGGAAGTACTACTGGACAGCTGTATCGTCATACTCCTAGTCTGGGAATCATTGACATTATGCACCCACCACAGGGGGTTCGAACCCCGGACCTACCGATTACAAGTCAGACTCGTAGATCATTCAGTCCCCTGGGATCCGACTCAATGATCAGCCCATGAACCTTGACTTCTACCATTTCGTGATTTTGGTGCGACTGACACCAGCCAATGTTGTCGACGAGTATTTGTCCTCACTCCATACTGGATGAATCCGACTGGTCACGACTCCTCAATGGAACTCCAGGCAACTTCGTCCGCTAGCCAGTCACTAGCGAGCGAGCAACATGTTAATTTTCAAGAGTTTCTCGTTGGAATTTGATTTGTTCCCAGTTCCAGTGGCTAAATAGCGTACGAGCTTGACGTGTAACCGGAAGGTCCCGGGTTCGAACGCCTGTGATGGGTGCATTATGTCAATGAATCACAAACTAGGAGGAAGAAACAGCTTTCCAGTAGTACTTCTGGGGGTTTTCAATGATTCTCTAAATGATATCGATCCGTGATAAAAATCTAAAAAGTCTTCACTTATTATCCATCAGAAGTATTATCTCACCTAACTTTTTAGTGATACTTGTAATGTTGCAATTCCAACTGCAAACTTCAATGCAGAGTTTTGGATCGGTCTACCAAACTGACAGTAATGTAGTTAACTTAAGCACACCTGAGAGTCTTATTATTCTTCCCTTGGGTTCCAAGTGAAACATAGGGCTTCAGCAAAACATCTCCACTTAGTTTTAAATGGCGCTGTCCTCTTCAGTTGGCTAGCCACAAGACTACCCATAATCTCTCATCTCCTTCTCCAACTCATACGACCTCTTTCATGTCACCCTCACACCAAAGACCCGCTTGTCGCTTCCCATTTGCATTCCACTCGAGTGATGGCCTTTATTGCGCGTGATGTCATTCGACGGTCTCCTCAACATATGCCCCAATCCATCTCCATTTTCTCCTACATATTTTTTGAGCGATCGGCTCTTGGTTGGTTTGTTCCCAGCCAGCCAGAGTTTCTTGTCGCTAATTCTTTCCGGTCAGCCGGCTGGCCATTTGATATTCAGTATGGAGCCAGCGAAGGGAGCAGCTGTTGATAAAAGTCTGTAACTGGCTATCGGCGATCCTTTTCGTGACACGCTGGCCAAGTTTCTGACCCGTATAGAAGAACTGACTGACTGGCTCACATTTGTGTTGAACAGAATCGGAATGTTGTTGTTTATGCTTTGGTGGAATTCAGGAGATTTCCAAACTGGTTTCAGATTGATGAAGGCGTGTGTGTATCTTGTCTTTCCAATTCTGGCTGGCTGGCTGGCTTTCACATCTTCATCCGTTCCGCCTGTGTGGTTGGAACCATACGTTTTAGTTAAATGTTATAACTAATATATTAATACTTTCCTTACAATATACGACTGATAACTCGAATACTATTCCTGCACTGAGAAATAACAAGCAGCGGACTGACTGACAAGGCAGAGATTCATTGATCCAGGGAAAAGACAATAAGACCAGAAATTACAGCTAATCATATAGTTGTTAAACCATATGACCAATAAGTCGCTAGTTTAAGACACGGAAAGAAACTATGTTCTGACTAGTTAGTATATTACAATAAAAATTCAATAACCTGACTTATAATCTCTAGTTAGAGAGACAAATATCTGGTTTATAAATTATGTGGCAAACTCTTAATCCTAGTATACCCTCTCTTTTTGTTCTAAGCGAAGATAAAACAAATCCAGGTGTAGAAATACCTTTGAATGGAAAAAAAAAGAAATTAAAAACACAGCCGAAGTAGAATAAGTCAGTTAGGAGGGAGTGGTGTTTAACACTGATAAGAATGTAAAGATTAACTGATTCACCAGAGCTGATTCCCACGTAGGAGGTCATGTGCAGTCGCCAATGACACTAGACAAGCTTAGACAATAAGTCAGTGCTTCATTTTACGATAGTCAGCTGACTGATCGACTGGTTTCAACGTAGAACTACTTTGTACCGATGTGCATCAGTTCGAGTCTCTACACTTCACTTAGCACATATAGCAAGAGAAGAAAGTAAAAAGAAATGCAAAACAGAGACAGTTAACAGAGATATGAGGCAAAAAGAATAGTAATATGGAAGAACCATTTAGTTTAATTGGATATTATAAGTCACAAGGAGTGAAGGCATCTGCGCCAGCCATTGAGAACGATCACTTTGAGCCATATCACCAATTGTCTATAGCCTCCATTAGTTTTTATCATCCCGAGGATCCCAACCAGTCAAGAAGTCTACACCTCCCTACGTCGCTGGCTTAAACTAACTGTTGTGGATTTCATTGACTGGTGAAGCCATGTTTCCGTTTGACCGCCGCTAGCTCTTTTCCAACCTGATCCTATATCAGCTAACATTGCCCATGTCGAGGAAGGCGATGGCTTGGCATAATTAGCACATGTCCTAACCATCTCAATCGATGTAACTTCACAGCCTCGTCGATTGATTTCCCCTCCTCACTTAGCACTCGACCGAGGCCTAACTTCAATATTGCTCAGCCTATTATACCACATCACATGGGAGATAGAACGCAGGCACTTATGATCAAAGACAACTAGTCAGGCTTTTCATGTCTTTCACTTTCAATGGCCATGTCTCACTCGCTGCCAGCCATAAAGCAGAACGGAGTGGACTGCTGAGCATTTAGCTGATTTTATGGTATTGTATGGTATCGTCGATACATTTTCAAAGACTTCTCTATCGACAGCCCGTATTTCTTCGGAAGCATACAACTAAATCCAATGAAACTCATCCGATTACTTTATTGTTGAGAAAAAAAGTATTTTATAAGAATCTTTAAAATTCAGCATGCGTAATTTCATGTGTGTATGTCGCCAATATTTTAACAGCCATGTTTTACAACTATCAGTACAATATATCGTGAACACTACCTGAAGTCAGTCGAGCTTTCTGTATCTATGAAAAGACACTTTTCTCTGGAAGCTGTCGAAGATTAATTAGGCTTTCAAGTACATTTCCAATGGACAGCAAGTTCTAGAAGAAATATGCATACTTACTGGTACTTACTTATCACTCGCCGAATTTCCTTACCCTAAGGAGGTATTTAACTCCACCGATCTAGTGATGCGGTGCCATTGTCTGGTTATGTGTGAAGGGGAAGTGAACTGAGAAAAAATATGTCATAATAAAGAAAGCACACTACTCGAAGTCACACGAACTAGTGAAATTTCAGAGGAAATTGTCAACTGAAATGGTGTCTGTTGTCAATGCTCAGTGTCATCATTTCTCCTTCAGATAATAATAATAATTTGCTTTATTCCAAAACAATACATGTGATACAGAATGGAATTCTCAGCATTTTTACTACAGTATTGCATCCAGTTAGTACATTATCAATAAATAGAATTCTACATAGATTAAGGAAATCTCAGTTCATTATGACAACAACATATTGGCATGTCGGTAGCAAAGGTAAAGCTGAACAGTGTTTATAGGAGTTAGAAAAGTAGGTGCTATCATATTTACTGGCGTAAGCGGAAGAAAGAAGCAAAGCAGCACATAACGTAGGAAAAGAAAGAAAGAAAACGTTGTACCTATAAATGATATGAGTTGGAAAGACGAGGTCCAGTTGCTCTACTGACTATTTAATAAGTTGTAGGTGTCACGCCTAATGCTTTCTTTATCGCACAGAACACGAGCTAAGTAGGGTATGGTTGAGTTTTTGTACTTTCTGGTGCGAGCATATAGTTTTCTATATAGGCTTCTGGTTTTGCCTGATGAGATGCAAGGGGAGAGTTGTGAATGAAGAGGGTGGTGTGAGTTAGATAAAATGGATTTAGCCCATTTTTCACATGAGTCCATGTGCCTGTCAACCAGAATATTAACAAGCTGGTTAAGTGGCACGTTGCTTACCCTGCTGACAATCTTTAACATCCTGCCTAATAAGGTATAGTCTTTCTTCAGTAGCCCGGGAAAAACTAAAGGGGAACAATAGAGAATAATAGGCAGAATGCGAGAGTTAACGAATTGTAGGAGTAAGGGTTGGGTTATACCAGAATGTCTTAACTTCTTGATGTAGAAGGTAAGACGGAATAATTTCTTAGAAATCATTAAGATATGAGACGACCAGGAAAGATCAGCAGATAGAATGACGCCTAGGTATTTAATTTCCGACTTGGTTTCTATTTCAGTGCCATCTATGTTGCATACCTCGTGAGAGCCAACCAGTTTGTTTAGGTCAGACTTATGCCTAAAGGTGAAATTGACTGTTTGGCATTTGGAGGGATTTAAGGTAAGACCGTTTTCCTTGGACCACTGGCTGATTTCTGATAGAAAGCCATTTAGTTTAGAGCAGTCGCTTTGACATTTGACAGGCAAAGATACAGTCAGGTGGTCAGCATATTTGACAAAATTAATGTCATTTGAAGATGGTAAGTCATGTAGAAAGAAAGAAAAGAGAAGTGAGGAGAGTACAGCACCTTGGGAGACACCAGCTTCAGTGAGCACAGCAGAGGATGATTTACCTTTGTATACGGTGTACTGCATTCTGTTAGAGAAGTAGGAATGCAACGAGTTAGTGACATATTTGTCATAGAGCTTATTTAGCAGGAGACATCTAGGTACAGAAAAAGTGAAGTCGAGAAACGTGCAGCGGACGTATTTGGCACCTTTATCTAATGATGAGACGATGTGGTTGTGTAAGACGGCTGCAGCGTCTAAAGTGCTCCTACCCTGTCTATAGGTAAATTGTTTGGGGTCTTCAAAGCTTTTAAGGGAGGGTTCAAGTTTAAGAGGTACTAGTTTTTCCATAAGCTTTAGAAACAGGGAAGTGATGGCAATGGGTCTGAACTTTATCCTCTAGTGTGTATAATTCCGGCTGAAATCAATGTCTCCCAACTGATTTGTTAGCAAAATGAAGTCCGATGACATACTGCTTTTAGTGAAAACACTGTCAGAGCACATAGTCTTCTTAACACCCCCATCCCCCCCCAATAAATGTCTTGGTACTTTTGGAGTATTGTTCTCACCTATTATACATATATATGCATTGAAAAGGGATATTTTTCTTCCCTTAATTTGGTGTTTTCTAAATGAACATTTTCTATTATATTCTATTAACATTATAGACACAACAAAGATCGTATGACTCAGTTGGCAAGATCACAAAACGATATCCCACAACCGCTGGATTCAACTGCGTCTATTTTAAATATAGTACCAATTGAATGGAATACACTGTCAAAACAAGAGGATTCAGCACCATACAAAAAACTGTGGAAGATGCCAAGATTTACTGGTGGGAATAAGCGTATAAAAACATACTGGTCTGAACGTCAAATACGCCGAAGATGATGTGTATATTTGAAAGATATTATTGATAATAACAATAATGATAATATTATTAAACCAATAACTCCCATAACATTATTATTATAATTTCAAAGTGTAAACACGATAGCCAGTGTTGTGGAGTGTAAATTCATCAACTGCCTAATGCATGATGGCAAAACATTCACTTAACTCTTTATGTGAATAATTAAAAAAATATAATAATAATATTATTATTACATTATTGTTTCCTTTAATTCCTAGAGGAACATAGAGCTTCAGCCGTGCGTTTCCATTGCGTTCGGTTCTCTGCTAGAGTCTTCACCTGACTCCAAGTATGCCCACATGCTTTCATCTCCTCTTCACATGACCTACTCCAAGTCACCCTTGCACTGACGACCAACTCACCACTTCCCATTCGGCTTCCACTCAACCCATGGCCTGGCGTGTGATGTCACTCACTTGACGGTTTGTTTCCTCAGAGTATCGCCAATCCACTTCCATTTCTTCCTGCATATTTGTTTCACAATCGATTCCTGGTCGGTTCGCTCCCAGAGATCTCACCCTGTTGCTGATCTTTTCTGGCCAGCCATCTGATCTTGAGTATTGAGCGAAGACAACTGTTAATGGAGGTCTGTAGTTTGTTTGAGATGCTCTTTATGACGCGCTGGCCAAGTCTCTGATCCGTGTAGTAGCACTGACTTCACATTGGAGTTGAAAATCCTGATCTTATTTTTGATGCTGAGTGCTGTTGACCTCCACACAGACTTGAGAGTAGTGAAAGCTTGTCTTGCTTTTCCGATTCTTGCTTTGATATCCTCGTCAGTTCCGCCGGCCTGTAGTTGAAACGATGCTTCCCAGGTAGGTAGGTAAAAGAGGTTGTTTCTTTCAGGTTCCTTCCATTTATGCTGATTGTTGTCTGTTGTTGTTGTTGCTGTTGGTGGTGTTGCCCAGGAATCTTCATCACCTCTGATTTCTCTATGTTCACCTGAAGTCCTATCTTCTCTGGATGCTTCTTCTGCCAACTTGTTACTTTTCGCTTGCATATCTTCCAGTTTGTTGGAAATCAGACATATACCATCGACGAAGTCCAGATCCTCCAAGTTTTTTGTGAGTCCATTTTATGCCTGTTTCCTCATTCCCCGCTGATGTCGCATTATAATATAATGGCCACTTAAATGCATAGCGTTTTTCTTCATAATAGACAGAAGAACACGAATCTATGCTAAGAATAATCTGTCATGGCTCTCTTATCAATATTATTATTATCTGCGATGTGGCCACCATGTTAGTTAGCTTGACGTCACGGTACACTTTCAGTTGTTGATATGAGTTGGTTGTGTGGTGACAGCTGTCTACTAGCCAAGTGGTGGACAGTAATTGAGGTCAATGTTTATGTATCAAATATTAGTCATGTTGTGGTGAGAGATGGTTGCTGGCCAAATTGGTTGACAGTAATTGAGGTCAAAGGTCAAGGTGGACAGGCGGTTACAGTTAACATATAGATGAACTGACACAGCCACAAGAGATGCAAGGTTGACTTTGTGTGAGAAACAACCAATCAACAGACTGTATTTTCTACTAACATTGACCTACAATAATGTACATAAAAATCTATAAATACGTGTTGATTTTTCGTAATAAACTATCTGTTGCCTGGCCCTTGTCTTCTGTTGTTACAGTTGGAGGCAATTGGCACGAAGCCTTGGACCTAGGTTTCGTGCTAGTCGCCAATAACCAGTCAGCAAGGCGTATCTGCAATCAACTAGAAGGAACTCATGTCCCTTGTGAGATTCGAACCCGAGTCACTCAGTACTGTAGTCAAACATCTTAACACTGAGCTGTTCGGTCGTAGGAATGACCTCCTGTAGGACTAACTGTAATGGATACTTTTCTATTGGACACTAGTTAACTAGTCCTACAGGAAGTTAAATGCGAACCCAAATACCAAAAAAACGTGTCTGACTGCAGCACCGGATGACACGGGTTCGAATCTCAGAAGGGACATGAGTTCCTTGAAGATTGGAGATACACCGGCCTAGCTGACGGCTGCCAATAAGCACGGAACATAGACCCAAGACTTTCTGCCGACTGCTTCCAGCCATCTAATAATCTGTATGTTTTCGACATAGACATTTGCACATATGTGCAGCAGTTCAAGTCGCCACACTCCCTCTTTGTAGCACACAAAGCAAGAGAAGAAAGTAGGAGAAATGCATATTTGAGACAGTAAACAGAGGTGTGAGACAAAGGTATAGTAATAACGAAGAACAAAGCAATTTCCTTGGATATCATAAGTCACAAGGAGTGGATGCATCTGCACCAGCCATTGACAACGATCACTTTGAGCCATGTCACCAATTGTTTCCAACCATTGGTTTTTACCGTCCCGAGGACACCAACCAGTCAAGAAGTCTACACCTTCCTACGTGGCTTAGACTAACTGTTGTGGATTTCATTGACTGGTGCCATGTTTTGGTTTGACCGCCGCTAGCTCTTTTCCAGCCTGACCCTATATCAGCTAACATTGCCCGTCGAGGAAGGCGATGACTAGACATGCGTAACACATGTCCTAACCATCTCAGTCGATGTAATTTCACAGCCTCGTCGATTGATTTCCCCTCCCTGCTTACCTAGCACTCGACCGAGACCTTACCTCAATATTGCTCACCTTATTATACCACTTCACATGGGAGATAGAACGCAGACACCTATGATCAAAGACAGCTAGCTAATCTTTTCATGTCTTCTACTCTCAATGGCCAGGTCTCACAGCCATAAAGGAGGACGGAGCGGACTGATGAGCAGTACACACGCCCTTTGGTCGATAGTCGGATATCTAATGATAATAATAACAACAACAGAAAGCGTAAGCTTACTGCATAACTTCCGTGACACAATTCAATGGTATCATTAATAGCATAGCATACACTCAACAGTCATTGTATTCCAAATTCTGAGTAAGTAATACCTGAAGCCAGTGTGAAGCACTGATTGATTCATAGCGGCTCCGACTAATGAAATATCAAGAGTACAATATTATCAAACTATCCCAATTTTTCGCTTAACATATCACACTATACCCACTGATTTAGCTAGAGCCTAAATTATGATATGTCGAAAGCAAGTTCAATTTTTAACAGTTTGAAAAAATTTGGCCATTGGGTATATGATATTTCATTATAATAAAGGTTTTCTTGCATTTCCCAATGAATGAATGAATGAAAAACAAAACGATATTGTTGTTTTTACTGACGTTTCGCTGTTTAATGCTAACAGCTTTATCAAATTAGTCACATTAAACCAGAATTTAGAAAATCTCAGCTTGCATCATATAACAACCTAATCATCATTCGGTATATCTACTATATTCAGGAAGAAAACCCACTCCAACAAATATCTAGACTTCAGATTATCACACCCAATCAGCGCAAAGGTATCAGTTGTTTTAAGTCTTCTTAGACAAGCACACTCTCTGATAACGGATGAGAAAGAAAAAGAAGAAGAAATATTAAACATTAGTGAGACTCTCAAGCAAAACAACTACCCAAGGAACTTCATCAACAAAATCAACACTATAGCAAAAATATTCATTCAGACATCTATAAAACACAAAATGATCGACCAAAGAATATTCTTTTCGATAAATTCCTCTTCCGGCTCTACAATTATACATACATGTTTATATACATAAAATATTCTAGAATATTTGTAGTCAATAACAATGTTAGTGTTTTTTAAATAATATCGATTTATAAAATTAAAATTAGGAATTAAAATGCCATAATAAACAGGGGGACGGATAAAACTCGAACAAAGTAGTATCATAATTACTGAGGAGATTGACATATTGTGCAATTAGGGGTTAGAAATGTAGAAATAAAAACAATAGACAGGATGGTTGGATAAAAAACTCTAGTGAGATCATGAAGGAAATTTTCTTTTCGTCGAAATCATCAACAAGGCTGTAAATTTCTACCTTTCTAACCCCTAATTGCACAATATGTCAATCTCCTCAGTAATTATGATACTACTTTGTTCGATTTTTATCCGTCCCCCTGTTTATTATGGCATTTTAATTCCTAATCCTAATTTTATTAATCTGACCCTTGACCAGAAATTATTCTGGAACTTTCCTACCCATTTAATATCGATTTGTAAAGTATGATCACAATGGAGTTACAGTCCATTAAAGACGCTTAAATCATTATAATAATAAAAATATGATAGCACAGAGAATATCAACTAAAATTAGGAAAATTCCACAAAAATTCATGATCATTCAAACCTGGGTGGCCAAGGTAATGAATGATGATAATGACTGAACTAACTTCTTTTGGATGCATAAATTAGGCTTATTAATATGGATCCCCACAGCCAGCCTCAGCAATGTTTAGTAGTCGAACTCTTAAGGCAAAATTGAGATTCGTAGGTATGCGGTAAATGATCCTGAAAGCATGGTTAACGTCAATCTTGTGTTCTGTATCCACAAGATGAGATAGAATAGCGCTGTGAATAGATTTTGTTTGTCCTTTGCTTAACCACTAAGCAGGGTGATGTTCGGAAATTCGACGAGAAACACGCCTAATTGTACGGCCTATGTAACTGGCTCCACAGGAGCAGTTAAGTATGACATTAAGTATGGTCGAAAACGGGTTCCGAAAACATGGACCCCAACAGTCGTCATTCCATATAGAGCAGAGACGTCAGACGATATCAGGAGAGTACTCAATAAGCTCGACGCCAGAGGTTTTTACAAAACATCAGACACACTGCGAAACATCCTTGTCCATATAAAAGACCAAATCCCTAAAGATTCTCTATCTAATTGTGTCTATAAAATAAAATGCTTAGAATGTGATGCGAGATATATAGTACAAACATCGCTAGAGAGAAATCAAGGTAATCGGAAGAAATGAGCACCGTAGACCATCTGTTCGACCACCGAGAAATCCATTTGAACTAGAAAAGCTCGAAAAATCATCAGCCATAACCTGTCTTCACGCCATAGAATCAGGCCACAA